CCATTTTAAAATGATGTGGGATTTTTCAAATCATTACAAAAGGAGTATAAAAATTTCTTAGTAAGTTTTGGGCAAATATATAATTTCCAATGTAACACTCTAAAAAAAGATGTGTGATTTTTCAAACCATTCTAAAATGATGTGGGATTCTTCAAACTATTTCAAAATGAGTACAATAATTCCTAGTAAGTTTTGAGCAAATATATAATTTTAAACCGTAAGTGTTAGTTTTGGAAAAAGTACACTAAGGAATTTTTTTTAGTGTTTTCGTATGTTTTACATTAAAGTGTTATGTTTGGGGCTACATTGATTGGAATGTTATGTTTAAAAAAGGTACACTAAAGAATTTTTATTATTTACTTATTAAATTTGAATGTTATGGTTGGAAAAAGTATACTAAATTTTTTTTGAGTGTTACGTTGTTACGTTTGAGAAAAGTACACAAATGAGTTTTTTAGTGTGTTACATTAAAGTGTTATGTTATTGGAGTGTTATATTAGAGTGTTAAATTTTTGTTTGTAATGTGAAATTTGTTCCAGAATGAGGAAAAATCCAAAACTTTTATAATGAGGATTGCCCAAATGTGTAATTTTACATTTGGAGAAATCTATTTTTATCTCTAAAAAAATTAAATCTAAATATGCAAGTGACTACCTTTTTGTGTAATTTTCACTTTAATGAGAATTTTGGATTTATAAGAAAAAAAAGAAAATTAAACATTTCACAATATCACATTTTGAGATTTATTAGTCCTGCATCCAAGAATTTATTATAGATTCACAAAATATACAATAAAAATTATATTTTTAATTATCAATATTTATAAAATTCATCATCTATTTGTAATTATTTCTTAAAGCAACAACCACTGCCGTGAAATTTCTCCTAACTTAAATGCTCTTGGGATTTGGTTCCAACTAGTCGTTAGTTATACCTCAAATTGATTTTGATTATGAATCAAAATAATTAAAAAGAGTACATGATATGCATTTATCAATTAAACATACCCACTCATCAACCACACAAAACATATATCGGTGTGGATAATTATTTAGTAATCTCATGAGATATTGACCCTGTTTGGTACAGTTTAATTTCAGTTTATTTTAACTTTTAGCTTAATTTAAGCTATTTTGATGTGTTTAGTTTAGCTTAACAATACAGCTTATACAGTTTTGTAAGTCAGAAATCAGCTTATTCTTTGAGTGGGGCAGGAGAAGCTTAATTTATAAGTCAGAAATCAGCTTATATTCATAATTATAAGGTATAAGCTGTTAAGGTATAAGCTATAAGTACTTTCTCACAACTCTACCAAACAGGGCCATTGGTCTTGTGAACTTTTCGATTAATGACATAACAAAAACCTTTATTTGTAAAACAATGGTCTATTTTGAGAAGATGGTAAAAAATAATTTTTTGACTTTTAACTAAGGTTTTGGTTTTTTCAGACAAATGATTTGAGAAATTGATAAAAGTTACTTTTGACTTGTTTGATTAATATTTGTTTATGATGTCAAATCACAATAAAATAACCAAACTACCCGCATTTAATTTAAAATATTTACAACTCTATCCATATAGCATATTTTGACCCATGAGGGGTAGAATTGTAATTTTACCATTAACTAAAAACCAACTTTCCAAATAAAAAAATAAAAAAAAGCTAACTTTTAACTTTTGCTATAAATCAAAAAAAATGACTAAAAACTATCCTCCCAAATGAGACCAAGGTAGAAAACTCACCCTACTATGGTTCATGATTGCTTATTTGTTGAAAATAGTACCTAAAATATACTTGCATTATATTCTATTATGATGTCTTTCAAAACTATCTAATAATTTTTCTATCTATGTTAAACGGTTTGGCCACTTTGAATTGAATAGTGGAGACCATTTCTAAACTCCCAACAATTGGCATTTTTTCAATTTGGCCACTTTGAATTGAATAGTGGAGACCATTTCTAAACTCCCAACAATTGGCATTTTTTCAATTTGGCCACTTTGAATTGAATAGTGGAGACCATTTCTAAACTCCCAACAATTGGCATTTTTTCAATTTGGCCACTTTGAATTGAATAGTGGAGACCATTTCTAAACTCCCGAACAATTGGCATTTTTTGGTCAAAATTTTCAATTGAATCCACTCAAATACACAAGTCGTGATTATTGTGACGACTTGTTCATCTACCCTTGCTATTAAAAAGTAAAATTCACGCCACAAAAAGAAATTATGAAAAGGATGTGCGTTAGTTTAAAATATAGCATTGTGTACGCATATGGACTTGTCGAGACTTAATTAGTTTATTATTATTAGAAAATATATATATATATATATATATGTATTATCAACAATACCAAAGTAGGTAATGCAGTGTATAATTTCTATCACAGAAGGAGACATTTTTTATACTTTGGTTAACCTATCTTACCGAAATAAACCACCCTTTTATTAAATTATAAATTAAGTGGCAGATGGAACAAATTGTACATGCATTGCATTGATATATATATATATATATATAAGAATCGCTTAGTTGCTTGAGGTTCGTCTTTTTTTTTTTTTTTGATTTTGTCTTTTTTTTAAAAATAATTTACTAATGGTAGCCTATATGTTGAGGGAAGACTTTTTCGTAATTACGCAAACATTCTTGGTCAATTATGCAATAAGTTTTTTTCATAATTACGCGAATATTCTTGGTCAATCATGAAATTCATTTTTTTGTAACTACGCAAACATTCTTAATTAATTATGAAATATAAATCTTTTATGTTTTAACAAATTACAAATACACCCATTAAGGTTTGTTTAAAATAAGAATTGGTCCTATAAACTAGAAATTACAACTACCGTTTGTTATAAATTTTCATTTAACACAATACTCAGCAAAAATTTAAAAAAAAAACAATTCTTCTATGCAATAATAAATTATTAAAATTGTTTTTTGAAAATTAATTCTCGTATCATTAAAAATTATTAATTGACTTAATGATTTATTTATTAACAAAATGGTAAACTAAAAAATATTTTTCATATTATTACAAATTGTTAATTTATTTAATGATTTACTTATTAATAAAATTGGTCATTCATTATGCGAGTATAATTTGTGTATTAATAAAATTAGTTATTTGTATATATATGTATTTTCTTTTTCTTCTTTATTAGTTCAGTGAATAATCTTAGTAATTTTTTTTTAGATGGAAGAATTATCTTAGTATTTGTTTTATATTTATCTGTTGAGAAAAGTTACAAACTATAATTTCTTTAATTTTTTTTTTTATAAATTCAAAAGAAATGTTAAAGACTCATAAATTCATCCAAAATGATATAATAATAAAATTGAAGTGTACATCATTGGTTGTGTAACAAATCAAAAAATAATACATACCATCCCACATAGTTCTATTATATATCTAATGATTTATTCTATTTAATTTCATAAAACAATGTTTTAAATTTAAAAAAATTATCACAATACAAACCTTAAATTGTGACGTCCCAAAAATTGAGAACATTAGAGAATATATTAATAAATAAATACAGGGTTTATCTAAGGTTATAAGAGTAGAAAAACATCACTAATGTGCCATTTGATTAATAACCAAGTTAGATCCCAAGAAGGTCGGAGTAGTCAATATAGCCTCCCTTCTAAGTCCAACCACCTTAAATAGCAAAGTTACATTTTTGATAGATCTTGACAAAGTATAACATAAGGCCTACATAAGTTGACGGAATATAAAGACAAGTTACAAATGATATATATAATAATTAAAAACTCATGTCGTAAATACAACAAGTGATTAATTACTTACAATTTCAAAATGTGTTTACAAAACTAGTTCCTAACTCTCATAAGGTAGCCATACGTCTTCAAATACTTTAGCTTTGCCTTTGACCGATCTAATAGTCTTCAATACCTAGCATGAAATGCCATGAGCTTTGAATGCTCAGTAAACGCACACACACCCCATCCATTTTTCCCAATCTAATACACCATCACAATTATAACAAGCAAGTAATGAAGCATGATAATCATTCAATAATAAAAGGATTACAAGGTTAGATGTTAGTAATCTATGAAATCTCCCAAAGAGATTTCATCCTCCCAACCGCAAGAATTGGATACCAGACTATTCAGAACTCCCCTTTTGTTACTTTCTAGAACTTACCATGGATGCCTGCAATGGTTACATCCCGTGTAGCGCCATTGGTAGACCTCAAAAGGGAAGGCGAAAAGAAAAAAATGTTTTATTATCTTGAATCTAACCTTATCCTTCAAAAAATGTTTTATTCTCCTGAATGTCCCATCTGGACCCAACCTTATCTCAACAAATCAAATCATTGCAAAGAGTCCAAATACGTCCGTTCCATTCTAGGGTTTACGTGATAACTACTTGCGCAAGCCTTAACCTTTAATTATGGAGCACATCCCATCAACCCATACATAACACATTATCATCTCTTCATTATTCAAGTGATCGAATACCACTACAAAAAAATAGCTTTCAGTGGCGTTTGTAAAACGCCGCTAATTGTCTGAAAAACGCCGCTAAAACCTTTGATGACGTTTTTATTTTATGCCGCAGATACAGCCGTCGTTATATGTTTGTGACGTTTAAAAAACACCGTTGTAGACCTTATTGCGACGTTTTAGAAAATGTCATGCTACAATCACCGGCGGTGATTCCTTCCGGCGAGATGACGTCATACAGACCCTATAATGGCGTTTTTTACACTAAAAGAAGCACTTTTTTTCTTTTTCTTTTTTTTGGAGGGGGGGGGGAATGCAACCTAATGAAATTTTAACCATTCGGCAATAATATTTTATTTGCTACTAGCTAGAATTCTCCAAACCCTGTTTCAAAAAATATATATATTCAACCAAACACATCAAAATTGAAATTACAAAAATCACAACCAAATTCATATACTCCATCATCATCTCAAAATTTAAAATACTAAAAAAAGAATAAATGTAACAAACAAAAAAACAATAAAATTAGTAGCAAATAAAATATTATTATCATGTTATTATCATGAATACTCAAGAGAAAGTAACCCTTGAGTGTAAAAGCCAATACAGCACATGTTATTATCATGGACCCATATAATTTTAAGACAATACACCGAAAACCAATAGTGAAAAAAAAAAGAAAAAAAAAAGGTTAGTCAAGCAAATATCTCCATTTAATGCTCTCCAGACACGTATTTGTTCCTTGAGAAATATGGACATTGGATCAGGTAGCTACAACAACTCAGAAATAAATAAACAAAAATAGATTAATCTAGTTGTTAAAATTTGGCCCTAGCCTGAAATTTGTACAGTTGTTTTGGATATATGCTCATGTTCTTCACCCTCAAATGAAAACCTGGGAGTCAAATTAAAGAAAAGAAAATCCATCAGAAAAAGCATAACAAATGCAAAGAAAACTCGCTAACACCACAAAACAATTATTTATCTTCTTCCAGAAAACCAGTAAAAAGGATCCCCAAAAAAATTGTCATTACCAAAAAATTATAGGGTTAATCACACCAATACCTCCTCAACTATTAAAGAATACCATCAGTTTACCTCCTTTATACCATGTCAACGTTGACATGTAGTATCACCAACCAATAATAAAACTACATATGGGATGGTGAACCCCACTATTCAAATGTAACAACCCATTCCAACATAATTTTGTAACTACTGCTTAGCGGGACTGATCATACTTACATGGTAATTTATAAAGTAGGTGATGGCATGCTATCACCATTGTAGTGAATTTTTTTCTTCCAAGAGAGGAATTTACACAGTTTTATAGTTGAGGGGTTAGACTGTACCGGTTCATAGATGGGGGGAGTAAACCGATATTCGTTCAGTTGAGGGAGTCTTAGTGTAGCTAACCCTATTTTATAACCCAAAACAAATTAAGGTCAAATCATCATAAGATGGATCAGCCAAAGAAATCTCCACAACTTAAGTGAAAATTTCTTGAATTGATGCAAACTGGTAGACATACACAAAAGTCACCCGGACTTGCCTGAAAAGCAAAAGTAACATTACCTGAATGTGTGAAAAAGCCTGAACAAGTTCACTCAATCCAACATTGAATCAGCACAGTAACTAACTGTATATTGTTCCTAAGAGACAATGGTAGCCTGGTATTCCAGAACCAAATGAGAAAGCCACACTTTCAAGGAAAAAGAATTAGAGAAATAGTTCTTAAAAGGGGTCTAACATACCATGCAACCACCAACTGCTATTGGAACATCTTAGAATATGCTTCTCTCTAGATCTCGTCTATCCGAAATCTGTCCCAATTCCAATAATTCAAACCCCAGTAGCTGATAAGCATTTAATGCCATAAAAAATGTTTCAGATTTCATGCAATCATACTAACCTTCTTCTTTGCAGCAGCCAGCTCCTTTTTTATTCCAGCTGAAATATGCCAGAAACCAAGTCAGTTATCACGTTTCAAACCTCAATTCTATGAAAATTACAAACTCCAGACTATTAAGTATCTAGTTTAGTACTTGAAAACTGTCATTCAAATTTCAAAATGACTTTCAGTAAGACCTCAGCCATCCCCCAAAATAGATTAATGTTATGGTAGAATACAAAAAACCCATAAAAAACAAAACTTGTAGCCCACAGAGAAGGTAATCATTGCCAAGTTAATTTTTTTTCTTTTTCTATTTAGGATTTCATCAGAGTGAAATTTATAATGTGCTGAAAGTTTTGACAATGCATTATATTTATAAAAAGTTCAAGGTTAGAAACTGTCACAAACCATCATTTGGCTCCAATTCCAATGCCTTCTTGAAACTTTCGACAGCAGCATTTATATCATTAAGTGCCATGTATGCCTGACAGTTCAATACAACGACAATCATAAGGACTACAAATTAGTCAACAGGACCATATGCAATCCACAATGCATACAAAGCCAATTGGGAGTTGGCCAGGCAAGACAACTCGTGATACTACCTAATACTCAGATAATTTAGTAAACACATGAAGATTGTGACAAATACAAATAAAAATTTTAGTAAACATTAATAGATTCATGATTAAACATTTAGCACACTTGGGGTGCGAGTGGATGTCCTCTGAAAATTGAACAGTTTATAGCCTATATTCAATTATACATAGAGCTTGAAGGCACATATTATAGCTCAAGTGCGGCTACCAAAGAAAATTGCAGTCACATAACATCTAATGTTATGCAATAATAATTTTATAAATTTCAATTAAGTAACTAGCTGTAATGATGTAACCATTCAAAGCAATGTTTTGAAAACCAGAATACATCAACAAAGCAACCACATAAATGGGGCAAATTTTATCCAGAAAACCCCTCTTCTCTTAGCAGTTAATAACATCATCATCATCATCATCATCATCATTAGTTTATGATGCAAATAGCAAAATATTCATGGATTCCTCTCTAATTGGTCTCAAGTATCTCTTTAAAAAGAAAAGACAGCTACAGACAGATAGCCAACCATTGCTTTAGCAATTAATGGGCCTATTGAGCACATTTAAACAAAAACATGAAGATGGAAAAACATTCCAAAATAGGGGCCACATTGTAATGCTTTAACAACACTTGAAAATATATTGACAGTGTTTCCACAATCTAGGTAGAAAACAACCTAAAATAACCTTCATTTAGCAACAAGCAAAGAACACTGAACATATTAGAGAAGATAATCCGAAAACGGAAATCAAATTTTTAGTTGCTAAAAAAATATGTGATTTTGATTAAGTTTGCATAAATGTGCTTGACATATCTTAACTTACCTTTTGGATGAGTTTGACCTGGCCAAACACGATTGAGCTCTTCAATGGTGGTGTATAGACTGCAGTAGAGATCGAATGAGCTTGAAATTGGTCTACTTGAAGCAGAGATTGATAAGGCTGAGCTGTTGATGACGGACACAGCACCACGCTTCAAGCCCCTGAACTGGTGTTCTGTGATACCGAGGCTGTTGGATGTAACTCTCGATCGGCATCAACATCTCTCTATCACCACTCCATTCTTTCCATTTGCTGGTGATTAAGAACTCCATCCCAATGCGTGGACCATAGAGAGGAAGAGAACGAAAATTAGAAGAAAGAAGCAAAACACAAAAGGCAAAAGCAAAAAATGCTAGATTTCAACCAAATCGAGTGAAGAAGAAACTGAATTTACAAACATCAACGTAAATACATTCCAGATCATTACTTTTTAGCCATGAAACTACACAGATCTTCGGTGAATTCAACAAATCCCCTACCTTGAGCCATGCCGCACCCAAACATGAAGAAGAACGAGCCCCAGATCGATTTAAATTACAGAGATTCGAACAATAACTAAGATAAACGCTCAAATCAAATACAGAACCAGCTTTTCAAGATCAAAATGACGAAGAATCGATCCAGATCGAACCACCAAGTGTCGATCCCCCCCTCTCTCTCACTCTTTCTCTCTCTGAAGTCCCATCTCTCTTTCTGTTGGACTCCCACGACTCTTAAAAGCAAAAAAGAAATTTAAAAGAAAAATAAATACTTTTATCTAAACTAAACTACACCGTTTTAACCATAACCCAACGTTTCAAAAACGTTGTCCTACCATTTACCGATGACCGGCGTGTAGAAAACAAAATCGTGTGCTAGATTTTCCATATTTTACAACGTTTTCAAAAACGCTACTAAATAAACGTTGTTGTATTCCCCTTTTCTTGTAGTGTACCTATCACCCCAATTAAGGTTTGTCACGCCCTGGATTTATACGGTCCAACTCACGTGAATGAACCACTCGACAATGAATAATAGATAATAACTCTCACGCAAGTGAATATAATATAGTCACACAATATATGTGTTTATCCGATTTTATACATTCCCAGATACAACATCTAAGTCGAATGAACACTAGTAGAAAAATGATCTTTTGCTACTATATAATTTGTGACCACCTAATTATCAGTTGCAAATAATCAATTTATTCCTTATAATTTTTTTTCTTCCCTTTTTCCTTATAATTGCCCTAGCCCTTTTTCACAAACACTGATCTCTCTCTATCTCTCTTGGTCTTAAATGGATCGTCGAAGCTCTCGCTTCTCAGGTCGCCATTGACGCTTCTCTCTCCTTCAGTTGCCTCACCTTTGCCTCTACCCTCCTCAACCTCTTCCAAGTCTCTTTCTTTCTCTTTGTATACATACATACATTTGTGTATATATCGCTGATAGCTTGTGTTCTAGATGATTCTAGAGAGAGAATTGACAAATAGCTCTGAAGATCTATGGCGGATCCTTATCTCTCCTTCTCTCTCTCTCTCTCTATCTCTCTCTCTCGTACGCGTTCAACAGACCTGTATAGCTCTACTCTCTCGCTTGCTTGTCAGCTCACCCGCTCGTCATCGTCGTCTGAAGACCTCTAACAGTATGAATCTCTCTCTCGATCTCACTCTCAGTCTCTCTCTCTCTCTCTCTGCTACACACGCATATTATACGAGGAAGCTCTGGTTTGACTCATTCATTTCTTATATAGGTATAGCTATGTACTGGTTCAACTCATTTCATTCTTGCCCTATTTTCTTGCATTTTTCCATATCTATTAGTGTATATCTCTCAATTTCTTATTCAATACATTATAATGAGTAGTACATTATTGTTTCTAACTTGGAATCAAGATTTCATTGATTATCAACAAGTTTGAATTTGTTGAGTCAAGAACTGGTAAATTTGAATTTCGAAGATAAAAAGTCCTAGTATTGAATTTGCTTGATTTATATGTGATATTAAATTAGTTTGTTGATGATGCTAACTGGATTTTCTAGTTGATTATTCTGTTTCCATTGACATTGGCATGAATCATTATCACATGGTATAAGTGTATTCATCATTGCTCTTGCTATTGGAACTCTTGCTTGTTGGATGTTGTAAATGTCTTTGGTGATTTCTATAATCATATTTTTTTTTGTATATGTTTGGAGAAAAGAGGGAGGGTGGTAGGAAAACTAACTAATTTATTTGGTCCAATCAAGAAACATATAACAAATTCTAGATTCTTACAATTCCTTTTACATAGTTGATGTGAATTTTCATGTCTAGAAGGTGAGAAGTCCGTGCTTACCTAAAAACAGAACTGTTAGAAGTCCATGTGTGCAAATTGTTCTTTATTGAAGATTTTATAAGCACTCAAATCTGAAGATGGTAACAAGTATGTAGAATTGCATAATTGAATTGGTTGTAAACATGATAATTTAAACATACTAAATGAATCCTTTGCTTGTTTGCTTTGTTTACTATAGAGATGGGCTTAAAGCAATTTTTCTATCATCCTAGTGCTCAATAAATAAATAAATAAATAAATTTGCGTTGCTCTTTGCATTTTACTTATTTCTTGATTTTTTTCTTATGGAAAATCGTTTCCAAAAATTTAACCTAATTTGGGGAGAAAAGATACCTATTTACTCTAGGAATTTAACCTAATTTGGATTTCCTAAAACCAATGTTTGGAACAAATACTTAATAAGTACTGATTTGTGCTTTGGATAGATGATTGATAATAAGGGATTTACGCTACTTGAGCCTTGATTTTTTAAGTAGTTCTGATTGCAAGTATATATTGGAGATTAATCATGCTTCACTACAAGAAATTGCATTTTTCGTAACGCAACAAAATATGTTGCTAAAAGGAAAAATTCGTTGGCAAAGAGTTTTGCCGACACACAAAGCTACGTTGGCAACCCGTAGGCAAAAGTGAGTTGGCAAAAGTTTTTGCCGACGAAATTATCATTGCGTTGGTAAAAGTAATACCTTTAGCGACGAACATAATCGTCACTAAAGCCTCCATCCATCGTCGGCAATTTACCTTGCGTTGGTAAAAGTCATTCAAATATGATGATTGTGTGGCACTTTTCGCGACACAAATTTGCATGGGTAAAAAATATACTTTTAGCAACAACTATGCGTCGGCAAAAGTAAACATTTGGCGACACATTTACGTCGGTAAATGTTGCCATTTGCCGACGATTTGTTTGTCGCTAAAGCTTTACTTTTGGCAACGACAAATTGGCATTGGCAAAAAATACACTTCTACCAACACAATATGAGTGGGGAAAAGTAACTTTTAGCGACACATTTACATCGGTAAATGTTGCCATTTGCCAACGATTTGGTTGTCGATAAAGCTTTAGTTTTGGCAACGACAAATTGACATTGGCAAAAAATACACTTTTAGCAACACAATATGAGTGGGCAAAAATAAACTTTTGGCTACACATTTACCGACAAGTTATTTGTCAAGAAAGCTTTACTTTTTAACAACGACAAATTTGCAGCAGCAAAAATAATTAAAACTCATTTATAATTTTTTAAAAGATTTACAGTTTTACAAGAGGCATCCTTCAGGCACCACTATAACAAACTAATAACATTGATATGAAATCACACAAAATATACCCCCTCCATACCCTTCCATCCAAAACACCAGCAGTTGCCCGAACTTACACCTAATGACAACCCCCATTAATGAAAACCTAATCTATTACAGATTGGACAAAAAGTCCTGCACCCTTCCAAACATCAACAACACTAGCAAACATCCAACAACACCGCAGCACCTCATCGTAACAATCACCATCACAGTAGCATCACCACAGCATCTCAGCAACAGCAGCAACATCACAGCAGCACCAGAAGAATAGCAGATTAGTATAGCAGATCAGCAAACTGATTCTTCATGGCCTTTTAACCGTTCAGAAAACCATTTCAACTCGGCAACCCAAACAAAATCATATAACCAAATCAGAATTGACGCAGCAATTAACCTTATTTACCAGAACAGTCAGAAAACAAATCAAACAAAACCAGAAACAAAACTATACAAAATGCTCAGAAATCAGTTTACCATGTTTGTCATCCATCAATTGTTCAAACAGCCCTCAAAACTATACAATTCTTAGTAACTTTTAAGCCATCAGGTTAACAGAAGTCAAGTAAAAATTCAAACTAATTCACTGGCTGTCATGTTTACACTAGGAGAGTAAGTTATATAAAAACACTCAATTCAAGTACACCACAATGTTTACCAAGCTAACCTTATACCAATGCACTGGAAACAGTAAAAGTAACTAAGCATTGAGATTGTCCATACACCACAATGTTCACTGATGGCTCTCTTCACTGCTTTAGAATGTGACTGGTGCACTGAAATATGAAACAAAGTCAAATCATTTCACTCAGAACCATTAGTGGCAAATTTATTACACTCAAATCATTAAATTAGTCATGAGAAAGTCAACAAAATGCTTCTATAATGAAGGTACCAGTAAACAAGATCAGAAACATTGACCTCCTTCCCCCACCATCTGCTAGTGG